GGGCGTGGGTGGCGGGCGGGGGCAGCCGCAGCAGGGTGCCGGGGCGGGGCAGCAGGCCGAGCGCGAGGGGCCCTCGGACGCGTGGCTGCGGCAGCACCGGCCGCTGCTGCAGGTGCGGGGCCGGCGCGGTGGTTGCGCTGGTCGTGCCGCGGCGCCGGGCGCGCCTGCGATGCTGCCGCCAACGCTGTGTGAATACGTCTGGTTTCTGGCTCGCTTGGTCACCGCGCACTAACTCAGAGCAATCGTGGATGTGCTTATTCTGTACTCCATGCGCCAAAAGTTACTGGCAAGCCTGTTGATGTCGGTCAAACCCCCAGCCAGGAGCACCAGCAATCACAGCATGGACCGGCAATCGAGCCCCAACCCTGACCCATACCCCCACCCCCCACCCCAAAATAAATCAACCATGCACCCACCCCCAAAGGACCTCGCCGATGACGTGGCGGCAGGCATGGGGCAGCTGCCCGTAACGGCCCTGGTGGACGCCGTGGTCGGCTGCGCTGACCTGCGCTTTTTTCCAGGTGGGTGTGGGGGTTGGAGGAAGGAGAGGGCTGCTGCGTTGCTCGGCCTTGTGGTGCGGCGCTTGCAAACGGTGCCCCGATTGATGTGCGGCATTTGCCCGTGTTTTATGGTTCTGTTGGCTGGCATCCCTTCGTGGCCCGCTAGGGTCCAAGTCTGCCTTGACCTGCTCCGCGCGCACACACACTCACACACACACACACACACACACACACGTGCGCGTGCACACACAAACATGCACTCACGCGCACACACACGCGCGCACACACACACACACAGGCGTCCAATGGATGGACGCCCACGAGGCCGCCATCAACGCAGCAGAGGCCGACTTGAGCGCCTACCAGGTCAACCTCGTGCGCGGCGCGTACGCGGCGCTCGAGGCAGAGATGCACGCGGCGGCGGCGGCGGCAGGAACGGCAGCGGCGACAGGGGGCGGGGCGGCCGCGGCGGCGACCGCTGCGGCGGCGACGGGTGCCCGGGTGGCGGGCAAGAAGGACATGGGGCGGGGTCCTGCGCGGCTCCCGGAGCCCTCTGCGCCTGCGGGGTAGATGTATGTGCGAGGTTGTAACGAATTTCTGGTGTGTTTGTCAGGTGCTTGAGCTATCGCTCTCTTCTCGATTGTCAAAATGGTGTGCACAACTTGAACTCATGGCGACCAGCCAACAGCAGCTGAGTCGTGGGGCTCGCCGTTGCACAGGTATAACGGCCGCTGTCTGAACGTCAGTCATGGCTCCGCCGCTGATACATCTGAATTTTTCACATCCGGTAGAGCATTGAACGGCAGTTAGCGACGAAGACAACAGATCACCGGGACCATGCTGCACCAGCAGAGGAACATCGCAGGGATCCGTGCCCGGACACATGTAGGTATACCCGTAAATCATACAATGTGACGTGCTCGGTAGCGTGGCGAGCACACACCTGCCGATTCCACGCCACCCCGAACGGCGACTCGCACACCAATCACGCACGCCTGCGCGCAGGCGCCCTCCCGCGCGGCGAGCTCGCGGCCGCGCCGCACCGGCACAGCGGCGGCCGTCGTCGCGGCGCAAGACACCGACACAATCGGGATCACGGCGCTGCGGCTGTTGAGGCCAACGCTCGACCACATTGAGGGCCTCGTCGCTAATGAGTTCAGCAGGTGCGGTTTTTACAGGTCAGGGATTGGATAGGGATCTGATAGAAGGCTCGTGCCCATGGCCCCACACCAGGCCATGCACTTTGCAGAAACGCAGCTGCCTGATCAAAATTGGTGCCCTGCCTGCGATCGGCCGTTCCGCGGGGCACAGCAAAAATGCAGGTGCTCCCGACTTGCAAACCCGCGGCTGCATGCTGCTGCCGCGGCGCCCGATAGCTGCGCGCGTGCCGACAAGGCTGATACAGAGCAAAACCCTGTCACTGGCGGCTAGAGGGGCAGAGCCGTGTCTCTGCCTCATAGCAGCCCCACTTAGCTGCAAGCGGTTGCTTTGCAACCGCTGTCCAAACAATGCCGTGACGTCCGGCCATGCGCAGCCGTCAGGTCAACCATGTTGACGCGGGCGCCTCAGTGACGGCGCCCGACCTACCGCCAGCGGTCAAGGACCGTGGCTACATGATCACGACTAATCGCAGAAAGGTGGGGGGCGGTGGGGACTGGGGCTGGGGCGGCGGTGCGGGAGTTGGGAGGTCGGCCGCTGGAGGGGCAGCAGGGGGCCGACAGTGACCGGTGAAGGGAGAGGGAAGGGGGAGGGGGGTATCGTATGGAGGGACGAGCAAGTCTGTGATGTGCCCGCAGCAGGGGGTAGCCGGATGTAGGGCTGCAGGCTGTAGGCCCGAATGGGCGAGGCCGCGGCGGTATCAAAAGCAGCAAGGCGGGGATCGAACCTCCGCCCCGCCAGCGCAAGGCGCGGTCCGCACGCCGCTCTGAGGGGGACCCATGCTGACTTGGCAGAGCGGGGGGCCGGGCAGTGCGTGTCCGGGCAGCATGCACACGCGCCGAAGCAGCTGCGCAGCCGCTGTGCGTTCGTGGCGCTTGGCTCGCTTCCCCCACGCACAACCCTCGCTTTCCCGCCTGCTGCGTGCTGCCGCCTGCCCCTCTCCCCGCCCGTCCTTTATGCAGCAGCCAGCCCATCCCCCATCTTCACTGCCAACCACCAACCGCCAACTGCCGACTGCCACCCGCAGGTCGGGGAGGGCCAGAAAGTGTACGATGCGGCGGTCGCAGCCATTCAGAAGTGGGAGCAGCTGCAGCTGGGTGAGCGACAACCCCCCCTGCCACGCTCTAACGCACTCCGCTGCCGGCCCTGTTGCCCTTCCGCACGCCGCCCGATATGCCTGCGCGTGCTCGACCCACCATTCTCGCCGCGCCCCTCCCCCCATCCTATCTCGCCGCGCGTGCCGTGTGTTGGGCGCCCTTTCCCGCGCTTGGCCCACAATGGCGCAGAGCAACCATCAGCACACTGCGTTCTTCGGACTGCTTGGCTCCCACTCCGAAACGCAACCCATAGCACCGACCCCCCCCCTTAAAACCCCACAGGTTGGAACTTCACCACAAAGCCCGCCGTGAAGACCGGCACCAAGATCTGCTCGGTGAGCATGCGTGCATCTTGACTCAAGAGGAGCCGGCTCCTGCCTTGTTTGACCTATGCACAGCAGACTTGCGTGCTGTCATCTTCGTGTCCGGCCTCAGCTTTGTCTGTGCGCACATGCTCATGCTGCGACGTCCTGCGCGCCTCGCCGGCGCCCCGCTCCTCGCCCCCCCCCCCCCCGGACGATCACGCCAACGCGTCCCCTCGCGCCTCCCATCCCCCTCTGTGCCGGCGGCTGCCTCTGCGCCCGCATCCGCACCCACGCCCGCGCCCGCAGGCCACGCAGACCGTGATCCCCTGGACTGTGCTGCCAGCCCAGGTGGTCTACTCCCAGGACGAGGCCGCGGACTTTGGCGGCGGCGACAAAGGTGCTCAGCCGTCTCTCCCACGTCGCCTTGCCCTGGCTGCATGCGGCCTTGTGGCTGAAAGGACTTGCCGGCGTCCGCCTGATTGAGGGAGCAGCGGCGTCTGTGCGGGCGGCATGACGCATCTGCGTGTGTGCTGCGGGGTTGGTAGCGCTGCATTCGCATGCCGCAAATCCAAGTGCCGGGCCTTGTTGCCGTTCCCGGTGAAGCCCCTGCCAGCTCGCGGCCTCCTGTTCCACGCGGCCTGTCGCCTGTCTTTGCATTGTCTTCACGCCCCGCAGGTCGCCGGTTTGCTGTGGGACTGGCGTCGCTGTCCGGCCACCTGCTGGCCGGGGAGGAGCGCTTTGCGGTGGAGCTGCATTCAGACGGCTCTGTTTGGTGGGTGCGCTGGCGACTAGCGCCAGGCGATTGAGAGCCAACGCTTGCCCCACACGCGCGCGAGCGGCATGCGTTGCCCACGATCGCATGCACACGGTGGTGCAGGAGCGCACATGCCATATGTGTCACAATCTGTACCCAATCGCCCTCGCGCGCCGACACCTGGTGGCCAACCTTTGCAGCTCCTGCACTAACACACGCTTGGCCCCACGCCATCAGCCTGAACCTGGCGTCGTGCACGCCTCCAAACTCGACCGTGCACAAGCTTTGGATTTTGGTGCAAACTGTGTAAATGAAACGGGTTTCGAAAATCCAGACGTTGCCAAAGAGTTGTTGACCCACCGTTTCATTTGCTTGGCCCGCGTGCCACCTCCGCCTCTGCGCGTCGCTCAACCCCTCATCCACCCCCCAACCCACAGGTACGACGTCTTCCTGTTCTCCCGCCCCAACACGCTGCTGGCCTGGGCCTCCCTGCCGGTCATCAAGCTGATGCAGATCCGCTACGTCAACGACTCCATATCTGCGCTGGCGGCCAGGGTGGCGTGACCGCCGACGCCGATGGGTCGCACAAGGACCGCCGGTGGCCGCCGCGGCACCGGAGCTCCAGCGACACGCCTCTCGCGGCGCCGGAGCTCCAGCCGCGCCGTAGGAGGCGTGCCGGAGTGGGCTGGCGACTTTCCGGGCGTCAGATGGGGTTGATTGGAGATGCCCACAAGCCACGGGCTTGAGGCGCAGCGTGTCTGGTCCTCGTGACGTGTGTCGGCTCCAGCGGGTGCTGCTGGCTCGTCGGCCTGCCTGCAGGGTCGCCCGGGCCAGCCATTGAGGAGCGTTTTGACGCGGTGGCTGCTGCCAGCAGTGTTGGCGGCCAATGTCAGTCTTCTCAGGTGCTCACTGCAACGCACTCTTCAACCCCACCGCATGCTGTCATCGTCAATGGCTCACAGCAAAGAAGTGGTCCCAGTATCTCCAGTGTTTCAGTGTGTTGTTGTCCTGTTTTTTTCTGAATGTACAAGCAGTACGGATGCAAAAGCTTCCCCTTCATGACCCGCAGGCGGTCGTGTCGGTATCATCTGGAGTTTTATCACTTTCGTTGTGACTTATGCGCGTGTAAGCCAACACGACGCATGGCTCAAGGCTGCCGCGGGGAGGAAGCAGGACTGCAGGAACGGTCCGCCTCAAGATATTTGCTGAGGCCGTCTGATGGTGCAATGCACTGCTGCTTGCCCCTGTTGCAGCTTGGCAGCGCTCAACGTGAAGCGCTTGCCAAGTGACGCTCCATTGCCTTTGGCTGGCAGCCCAGCTTGCTGTGGTCAAAGGCCCAGTCAAACCTTCACACATGAAGTGCTTGGATAGGAAGCGATGACTACCAATCCCACAATTTTGGCATGTGGACGTTGCCTGTGCATGTAGGCAACGAACATTGAGTAGGGTCGCCAGTTGCACCCGCCTCGCAAGATGGGTGTGTCTGCTTACCGTCTTACCATGCGGAAGGGAAGGCAGGTTGCACAGCCCGTGGCGAAATTGGAGCGAGCCCACTTGCAGATACCTTGATTCGTGGTGTGCTTGCAACGAGTCGATAAAGGTGTGAGGGCGCAAGATCATCACTGCCTAACAGATCACAGCGGAGCGTTTGGCGTCACTTGCAGCGAGTTGAAGAAAAGGCTTGAAGTTGTACTACTTTCGACACGCGTGCGGGCGATGGCCACTCCCTGGCGCGCCCATCTCTTGAAAGTCTATTTCAGCAGCCGGTGAGCGCATGTCAGAGACTGAGCGCATGCCAGGCGCATTACATTGATATTATTTTTGCTGCCAGAGCCGACTTCGCCGACTTCACGCGCGTCGCTCCGCTGATGCAACGCGCCTGCTGCTGCACGTCGTCCGCGCTGCTGCAGATATGTCTACGCATCAGTCCTACACAAAACCAGCCCAAGCGACCCCGGCCATTTCATAGCACACGCATCCTCCCTGCAGCCGCTCGTGCGGCAGGCGATGCGGGCAGAGGCGCGGCCGACCAGCGACCGCGCAGCGAGCGCCGACGTGGGGAGGGTGCTGGCAGAGCGCGCCCTAGCGCGCGGCGGCGTCACCACTGTCTACTTTCAGCGGCAGAAGGGGCAGCGGTTTGCAGGAAAATTGAAAGCGCTCATTGACTCAATAAGGGCCAGCGGCTTGCAGGTCAAGTAGTGTGCCTATCAGAAGCTCGCGGCCTCTCCATTCACCCCTGCTGCCCGGGCCAAGTGCTGGCTCCACCTGCGGCTGCGACGAATGGCTCACGGGTCGGCCGCGGCTCCCATTGCGGTGACTTCATGCGGCGTGCATTGCTGAAGTCGAAGCCTTCGCTGCTGCGCATGTGCATGTGAGTCGACCAGAACTCTTGTTGCCGTCGCGTTTGGTGCAAATCAGCAGCCCTGTGCTGACGCAATGGGCCCGCCATTTGTGGGCTCAGAGCGGCCTGCCTCGCTGTAATCGGGACGAGAGCTTGCTGACGCGCGGGTGTGTGCGATTGCAGTGTCGGCAATCCCCCGCTGGTACAGTGCCTGAGCAGCGCTCACAGTGGGGCAGCGCGTGTGCCCACCCGCAGAAGCTGCAGCCCCAACTCGTTCAAAGAGCGAGCTCCGTTACACCAGGGCCAGCCGCCAGACCACCAGGTTCTGCGAGGCGAGCGCAGCCTCCAAACCAGGCACCCCGAAACAGGCCCCCACACACCCAGGGTGCGCGGAGCAAGCCAGTTTGGGGGCGTCAGAAGGGGTCCTGCCACCACAGGGCCGACGGCGGCGGGAAGGCGGCGTCCTTTGAGACGACCAGCACCTTCTGCTTGTGGGCGATGTAGCCCTTGAGCGCCTCGCGCACCACGAGGTTGGCCACTATGCACTCCAGCTCGTCCATGTCGACGCCGGCGCCCTGCTGCGCTAAGACGCCCTGTTGGGCGGTCGAAACAGCCACCAAGGGCGGGGCAGGGGGTGGTGAGGCGTGGCGGTGCGGGGAGGGTGAAAAAAGATGCGGCGTTGCGCAGGGGCTTGTGGATAGGCACCCCTGGCAGCGGCCAGGGGTGGGTGGTGCAATTGATCGCCCAGGTCAAGTGTTCGGTTGGTGCACATCAGGTCGCCACAATTCCTCTGAGCTTGTTCGAACGAGGGAATAGGATCAAAGCCCTCTGGTGCGCGGAACCACAGGCGTTACACATGCCGAGCTTGGCGTGACCCAGAAAAATCAGGATGTGGAATTAGAATATCAATTTTATGATGGCGCGCACCTGCACGAGGGCCAGCGGCAGCTGGTGGGCCTTGTCAGGGCCCTTGAGCTCCCGGTTGACGATGACGCACTTTTTGATCAGCCTGCAGGGCGCACACGCGCGGGGGTGGGAGTGCGTGTGTGTGATTGTGTGCGAATGCGCGCGTGCAAGACGGCGAAGGGCACTCGGTTGAGGGGAGGCGGGTGAGAACGGCACGGGCGGGGTGTGAAAGGCATCGGGTGCCTTGGCAAAGTTGGGCAGGCTGCCGGCAGCCGCATATCGGAACCCTTGATGCAGCATTTTGTCCCTCCATCACTAGGGACAGGCCATCCTGTGATTTACCCCAATGTGGGGCACAAGCCCTGGTCAACCTCGTCCCAGCCCCCGTAACCGCCCGCGATGGTCAGCCGGCCCGCCCCGGCCCTGTGTCACCTACGCCGCGCGCCCCCCGCGCCGCGCGTCACCTGCGGTACACCGCCACCTGCAGCTTGTCCACCAGCAGGTACAGCCCCGTCCGCACCAGCCTGTACTGCTGCGCCGCCAGCGCCCGATGGAACAGGCCCACGTCGCCGGCCGCCATCGCCGCGCGCATGTCCTCGTACTCTGTCAGGCCGTACCGCTGCAGCAGGCCGGGGTCCGGCAGCTCCCCCTGCAGCATCTTGCACTGCGGGGCCGCGGGGCCACGGGGCGGCGGCGGGGCGGTACAACGCACGTCGCGGGTGTGCGGTCACGGCCACATGTCCAAGGCAGCCCAGTCTGGCAGATGCAGCCACGAGCACCCGAGGTGCAGCCAGGTTTGACCGTTTCATGCAAACGGGCCGAGAGGGCGGGCGCCCACGGCGGGATGCTACACAGGGCGAGGCGACTCACTCCCCCGGCGCCCGGCGGGCGCCGCGAGCACGCCCCTGCGCGTGGTCTGCCGCGCGGCGGCACTCACCGGCACTAGATACCGCAGAATGTTGCGTTTGTGATCCTCTGCGTCCCGCCTGCACGCGGCCAGCGCGTCCCCCAGCCGCTTGGCCGCCAGCTCCACATTTTCGTTGTACAGCTCTGTCCTGCCCAGGAAGTAGAAGAAGGTGACGCGGTACATCGCGGGGAACTCCTGCCGGCGGCGGGCGGGTGACGCGCGGGTGACGGGCGGGTGACGGGCAGCGCGTAGGGAGGAGGACGCCGGCATGGAGCTGCTAGTTGTGGGAGGCCTCCACAGGCACGCCACCCTCACAGCCGAGGCTGTACAAACACCCATGTGCATCAGAAATCAGCGCCCCACGCTCATTATTCTGCTGGCCAATGCCTTGTTCAGTCGCCCTGGAAGTATGCGTGCGCCCCGCCCTGCACCCCCTTGTACCGCCCACCCGCAGGTCGATGACGTCAGAGTCGCGCTGGCCGTACTGCCCCATGACAGTGCGCGCCATCTGCGCGGCGTGGCAGGGACGGCGTGCGGCAGGGTCAAAGGTCGCATCGACACGCGCGCACGACAGGCTAAATGCTTGTCAGGTGTGCTCGCGGGTCCTTGCACAAGCAGTAGTTGATCCAGCCTGTTGCAAGACACACAGGTGAGCCCCTTCTTGTTTGTGCACGCACGGGCAGGCGCGCACGTGCATGCTCTGCAGCACATGATCTGACGTGCTCAAACATCCCAAACACACGCACGCACGCACACACACACCTTCTGCCCGCCCACGCACCTGGGTGCAGCCCTGGATGTTGTTGAGTTTGAAGTAGACCCGCAGCAGCATGCACACCAGCGCCAGGTGTGCGCGCCGTTTGCCCGGGATGTAGTCCCCCTTGGGCAGACCCATGCGGCTGATTGCCTGCTGCAGCTGCGAGCCACACTGCTCCACCTGGTTCGGGCAGGGTGAGGTCACGGCGGTGCGATGACCAACAAAGTTATCATGGGGTGAGCCAGGAGGGCGGTTGATGACAACAGGGGGGGGGGGCGCCTGCCTTGGATGCTGCTGTGGAGCCACATGAGCTGCTGCATCGCAGTGCTGTCGGGACGCCAGTCGGCGTGCAGCCGGCGACCGGCCGCCAGCACCATCAGCTGCACAGGTGTGTGCACATCCACCATTCGCACCCAAACCCCGACTTGCCGCATCAGCTGCACAGGTGTGTGCACATCCACCATTCGCACCCAACCCTCGACTTGCCGTCAAGATGCACCAGACATCAACAGCCGCATGCACAATAGAAAGCGCAGTCACCTTGCCCGTCTTCTGCCCCTGCGCCGCCAGCTGCCGGTCCGCTAGCTCGGCTAGATGCCGCGCGTTGCTCATCGTCCGCTCAAATGCCGCTGCCAGCGCCACGTCAGCGGGCTCCTCGTTGATCGCATCCACTAGCAGCAGATGGGGCGCGTTTTCCGAATTGTAAGCCGTCGCCGCTGCCTCAACGTTGCCCTCCTGCAGCTGCACGACCGCCTGCAGGTGCGCCGCCGCCACCGCCGCCCACGGCGGGTACAGCTTGCTGGCGGCCGCGCCGCGGACCTGGTTGGGTGTCAGCTGTGCGCGCGCGTACACGGCCTGCTGCGAGGCGGCGCCATCGGCGCGCAGCAGCTCTTTGATGGTCGGCGCTGCGCGGCGCGCAAACGGTTGTGGGTGTGTGTGAAGGTTTGAGGCAGGGCCAGGCACGGCAGGGTGTGCGCGACTGCAGCATTAGCTGTGGATGCAGCTGTGTCGAATGCAGCGCAGCAGAGGGATGCAGCGGAACGCACCATCTGACGATGACACTGCCCGGCTCAGCGCCACCAGGTACTCGTTCAGGAAGTTCATATACTCTACGGCAGCCTAGACAGACGCCACGAGCAGCTAAATATGCTGTGATCACTTGGGAGATCTTAGCATCTGTGACGGTTATCTCCCGTACTATATTGCATTTACTTGACCTGCACTCTCATAGTATTCTTTCGCCCTGATCTGATCAGGATGCGACCTGGTCAGCTTAGACTTGCACGCGACACTGTGCACAGTATTATCGCAACTTTCGCGGGGCCTACTTCAACTGAGAGCGTTGGCAATGCCCTCAGCCAGTGAGCAAGTTGCGGTCATCCCGCAACTGCACCTGAAGTGGTTGCGGCGGTTCACGGCACCCAGTGACGATGTCATCTGTATCGTACAGCTGCCTGCGTTGCCTCTTCAAGACGCGTACCGACGTTTGGCATGCACCATGTCATGTGGCATTTCAAGCACGATGCTTCTTACTAGGCAATGGGTGGTGCAGCTCCGTGCGACCAGCAGCCACAACGCCGCCGCCATCATCTCCGCCGTCGCCGCCGCCTCACGCTGTACTCGACCCGTAGGCGCTCCCACCACGTCAGATTCTGGGAAGAGTCGTAGTTCAGCAGGGACTCGACGGACGCGAAGTGTATCAAGGGCGGCCGCGCGATGTAGGCAGCCGCTTCCCGATGGCGGATCAGGTCCTGTGGGGGTCAGTTCGGGTGTGAGTGTCGGCGTGCGTGTTCCAGACAACACGTGTTCTGGAGGGCCGTTCAGGTGAGATAACCAGAAGCAGGAGGCTTGCATACATGCGGGCGTAGCGCGCATGCTTGTGCGAACGCGAGAGTGTGCGTGCGCACGTCGCCTGCGGTGCGCTTGCAAGCAAACCAATGACCGCCCCCATCCACAGCCCCGGCAGCAGCCACCCACGTTATACAGCCGGTCGACCTCCGCCCCCCGCCCCAGCGCCGCCGCGCGCCGCAGCACGCCCAGCATGCGCGCCGCAAAGCGCGGCGTGACGACGTAGCCGAGCGTGCAGTACGCGCCGCGGACCACCGTGAGGTGTTCGCTGATGTTGCGCCCGAGCGTCAAGAAACAGGCGTTCAGGTAGAGCAAGTCCCAATCCTGGCAGGGGGAGCCAGGAGTGTTGGGTGGTGCATCGCAGGTCCCAGGGAACGGTGGTTTGCAGAAGCAGCGTATTTATTCAATGGGCAAATCCCCGCGGGCAGACAGGGGCACAGGCCACGAGGCACCTGGACAGGCGCTTGCTCTGCAGTGGACACAGCTGGCAGTGAGGCTATCGGCAAATACACCGATGTGATGCTGGTACAGCAACGCAGCCTGTGTGGGGTCAAATCGTCGCTGCTCACCTCTGGCAGCTCCTGCAGGGCCGAGAGAAGCTGCCCGTACCACCCATCTCCATCTTGGGC